CCCTCCACAGAAGAGGGAACAGAGGCTCAGAGAAGCTTTGGAATGTGTTCCACTCCCACCCCCCCAGCCTGTCTCTGGGGAGTCCAGAGCCGCTGTATCATCCCTGCCCCAGTGTCTCAGGTCCCAGGAATCTTGCTGTCGCTGCTCCCGGAGGTGAACAGTCCGAGTGTCCCCCAGAGGCGCTCAGGCCCTGACCCCGCCTGTGCTGCTTTCCAGCTCCGAGCCCACGCCGTGGACATGAACGGCAACAAGGTGGAGAACCCCATCGACCTGTACATCTATGTCATCGACATGAACGACAACCGTCCCGAGTTCCTCAACCAGGTCTACAACGGCTCCGTGGACGAGGGCTCCAAGCCAGGTGAGCCCCAGGCAGCGGCTGGGACGGGAGGGGCCGAGGGGCCCATTGGATGAGCTCATCTGGCAGATGTTTACTGAGCACCACTCAGGCGACGCTGCATGGGGGCGGGACCTCGCCGTCCAGACGGGGACAGACAAAAACTGAGCCAAACCGAGTCATGGAGCCATCGCAGTGATGAGGAGGCTCAGACGGGGGCCCTGTAGGTCAGGGAGGGCCCCTCCTCGGAGCTGACATGTGGGCTGAGAGCTGGCGGGTGAGGAGGAGCAGGAGGCAGAGAAGGGCTGGGACCGTGCGGAGCTGGAGGGAGGCTGGGGAAGGAGAAGGCACGTGCTAAGGTCCTGGGCGGCGTGAGGTCAGAGAGCAGCCCTGCCACTCGCAGTCTCGGGGACCACGCTGTGGGTTTCACCCCAACCACAGGAAACCGTGGGAGGCCAGACCTCCCCACCCAGAGAGGTGAGCTGAGCCTAAGCCTCGGTCCCCTCCGCACAGACCCCGGAGCCCCTAACCCTGCAGATCCCACCCAGCATCAGTGATGACCATCCCTGGCACGTCCCCGCTCCAGCTAAGCCGGTGGCCTGTGTGGTCTCTGGATCCGTAACTACCAGAAGGGGGCCCCGCCCCCCGTAGCACAGATGAGACTCAAGGTTCGAGAGGGAAAATGAGCAGCGCGGTGAGGCTGTGGGTCACAACCCCAAGCCCAGGACCAGCGAAGCGTCTACTGGCCCAGGTGGTATCTGCGGGCGCCCAGGCTTGAGAAGCACGGCCCGCACTGCCGTCTCCGATGGGGAGGAGCCGGACAGGGGTCTGAGCCAAGTGCCACCCATGAGGCCCGTGGGGCTGCCAGGAGCAGCCACTAAAATACAGGCTGCCGGTTACATGTGGAGTTCAGACAAACACCGAGTCGCTGTCACCTGTAAGCTGGCCCCATGCAGCACTTGGAACAGAATTGCAGTAACACCATGTCCCGCGTTCATCTGAACTCTGCTGTCCACGGGCACTGGTCCCGGGAGGGCTCTGGGCCAGGCCGCCTCCCCGCGGCCCCCTCCGCTCCGCCAACCCCTCTGGGGGGGGGAAGGGCAAACATTTATCATCACTGCGCTGCCGCTGCCGGAGGCGGTTGTCACAGCTCCTCGGGCTGCTGTTTCAGGGGCGAATTGTGTTTTCGATTGATTGTCTCAGAATCCTGAGGCGAGGGCCAGCCTGGGGTCAGCGAAGGGAACAGGATGTGGCGTTATTTCTGCCACAACCTTGGGTGGCTGGTCCCTGCAGTCCCTGAGGGGCAGGGGCAGGCAGTGGGGGGGGCAAACGAGCTTTGAGCCAAAGAAAGCGGAGGGCTGCCAGCAGCCCCTCTTCCAGAAGCTGGGTGGGTGGGTGTCGGGCTCGGGGTGCTCGCTTACGAACAGGTGTGCTGGGGCCCAGGGCATCCCTAAAGGTGCCTGGATTTTCTACCGCAAATCAAGCCTCCCTTGTCTTATTGTAAAACAAACTGATGGCGGAGTCTTCCCCGTCGTGCTCCGGCTTTCCGCGCTAGGACAGCAGAGGCAGACATCGCTGTGTCTGCTCCCGGAGCCCTGACCAGCCCTGAGCCTGGGATGGAGTGACCCGCCATCCGCCCGCGGGTCCTGAGACGGACCCCCTTTTCCCTCCCTCCTGCGCCTTCCGGGGCTGTGCTGGACTAAATGTGACTGACATTCAGAGCCCAGGGGGACCCCGAGTCCGTCTCCGGTCCCAGAACAGCCCTCGCTGCCGGCCCAGCTCCACGTCCTCACTCAGGCTGGTCAGGGCAAGGGCCGACATCCCAACAGAGCCCAGCATGGCCTCTGGGGCCCGGAGACTCCCAGGGCCTGGGTCAGGCCCCCGTTTCTGCCCTGTCAACGTCAGTTCCAACCCCAGGCTCACCCGGGTCTGTGCACAGCACAAAGGAACCCGCCGGGAAGGGGTGGTCCTGGAGGCCAGGCTGGTGAGGGCTCCAGGTGGCTCCCACTGGAAACCAGGGGAGGGTGTGAAGGACTGACTCGGCTCCGAAGAGCCTTTCCAGGGCTTGGGGTGCTCGTCTGGGGACATCAGCAAGCCCACATGGGGCTGCCCACCCCGTGTTCTTCCCCACCCTAAGCCCCTCCATTTTACAAACTCCTCTTTGGTGTAGCTGGATCAGACGGGCTCAAAGGGTGCGGAAGGCCTGGGATGGGCCTGTCCCTTTCAGGACCGATGTGCTTGGTGGTCTGGGGTCAAGAGCGCCCTCCCTCTGACCACAGCCTTAGGTCTCTTTGTAAGCAGATAGCCAAGGCCCCCTGAGTGACCCCTGAAAAGGGAACACATTGGCTGAGTAACAGGGAAGCCTGAGGTGGGAGCCTCAGGCGTGGAGACCAGGGTGGAGGGAGTTGTCTGGAGTCCTGGCCACTGTTTGACTGTCTCCTCTCTGTGGGTTTGTTCTTGGGGGGGGGGGGGGGGGCTTCCTCTTCTGTGGCCTCAAATCTTTGGATGTTAAAACAGTAAAGTCACCTCTGGGCCCGGCCTGGGCACCATTGTATCCCAAACAACTGTTTGCAGAATTAACAATAAAACACATATTGTGACTCCCAGTGACACAACTGCACCAGATCTGCACCAATAGTGATGCCTTCCTGCCATGGATGGACCTGTCCCCTCCCTTTCTCGTAGACACCCATCACCTTTGTCTCTTCGTTGGAGCTATTCGGGCTTTTGCCCGAATTAATGACTTCAGAATAGCTGTTCTTCTTATGTCAGTGAGTGCTGTGGCCTCTCCCTCTGAACGGCCTCCTGCTTTAGCCTGGCACTAAGTACATGCTAGCGAATGGGACCTGGTGCACACCTGGCCATGCAGCGGAGTCTGGGGAGCTACCGGGAGCCTCCATTCCTCTGTGGAGGGAGGGGGGCCTCTGCCAGGCCTGCGGCAGCCGGCACCTGGCCCACACTCATCCTGCGACCCCCTGAGTCACACACTCCCTGCCACACTGCCCAGCAGCCAGCTTTCCAGAAAATGAGCTCCCAGCGCTCAGGGCAGACCTCAAGCAGTGTCCTCCCAGCAGACCCGCCTCCCCGCCAGCCACACAGCCCACACTCCAGCCCTTCTCCTGGGGAGGTCCCGGTGGCTCCCCACCCAGCCCAGCCCAGCCCAGTTTCTCGAGCTTCCCGAGAAAAGATGCCTTCGTATTACCTTTTCTAAAAGGGCTCGAAGTGGAATTCCTGCTTCTCTCACCCCTTATAACTGTGTGAGGTTGTGTGCTTTAAATTTTTTAATTAATGTCATTTTGAAATATTAAATAGCAGAGAAACCTACAAGCAGCAAATGAAGTCCAAGCAACCTTCATCCATATAACTCCGGTTCTGCGCTTAAATAGATTATTCTATTAGTGAGCCCATTTATTTATTAATTTATTTCCGGGCTGGCGGAGGACCCCCGAGATGAGCACACGGTCCCATGCACAGATGGCACGCACGCTCGGAAGTCGTCTGAATATTAAGAATTTAAATCTTTAGCCTCAGTGATTTGAGCAGAAAGCCAATTATGGGGCTGAATTAGTTTTCAAATTAAACTGCAATTTGAGGCTTGTGAAATTAATCCTTTAAGGCACCTGGCAGTGCCTACAGGAGCCCCTCGGAGGCCCAGCCCGGCCTCCTTCGTCCGCGGCGTGACTGATAAAGCAAAGTCCGGAGCCGGCGCCCCGGCGGGCAGAGCACTCCGTGTCCACGTCCTGTCTCACCTGCTGAGAAAGACTCCCCGTCTCCTTCCCCTGCACAGAGGCTGAGGGCTCCCAGGGCTGGTGCCTCCCGCTTCCCAGCCCAGACGACCGGGCGGCCTGGCTGCAGTGACCGCTTCCCAGCCCAGATGACCGGGCGGCCTGGCTGTGGTGACCGCACTTGCTACCGCGCGCCCCTTCCTCAGCAGAGCGCGTGCAGGGCCCTGCACAAATCATTCAGGTGGCCTGGCACTGCCCACTGAGGCCTGTGGCATCCAGGACCTGGGGGCTCATGGCTGTGTGTGGGCTCAGACTCACCAGCTGAAGAAGGTGAGGGGTCAGGAGGGGACTTTGGTGCCAGGGTCACGACTGCCCAGACACAGCCACCCTGCTCAGACCCCACTGCCCAGCTCAAGGGGGCTCTTCCGCTCTCCCCGTGGCCCCATGAGGGACACCTGGCTTCCAGAGGAGGAGCCCCTGGCTCTGAGAGGCTCGGGGGCAGGTGAGCCAGGTCCTGGGAGAGACAGAGCCGGGATCTGACCGGATGGAGCTCCCAGCCCCGCTCCAGTCTCTGAGGCCACAGAAAGGTCTGCCTGCCGCCGGGCTTTGTTGGCGGCATGAGCCCGCCTCAGCCTCAGCCACTCCCTGTGGTGGTGGAATGGAAACCCCAAAATCACGTCCACCCGGAACCTCAGATGGGACCTTTTTCAGAAAAAGGGTCTTTGCAGATGAAACTAGTTAAGATGGGGCCGGTAGGGTGGGCCTGAGCCCCCGTGGCTGTGTCCATATGAGAAGAGGCGATTAGGACGCTGATACCGAGGAGATGGCCATGCGAGGACAGGTGCAACCGCAAGGCAAGGACCGCAAAGACGGCCACCAGCAGAGGAGGCCACACCCAGCCCTGCCCTGCGGGGATGTGAAGCGGGCGCATCGTGGGAGTTCAGTAAACAGGTGTTGAGGACTCACCCGTTGCCGCCCCCAAGGGTGCTGGGGCATGACAGTCTGTGACCTGCTCCTTGGGGCGAAGTCCTAGATGTGGGTTTGCAGGTGGGCACATTGGAAGAGCATTTGGACACAGGCGGCCAAACTGCTCTAGGACCTGAGGCTGTGGGGCAGGTCCCCACCAGTAGGTCCCATCATTATTTTAAAATTGTATTTGCTCATCTGGTACGTGCAACGTGCCTTCCCTTCATCTCTTTGATCACTAACGAAGTTGATTGTAAAAAGCAAAAACAGAGGGGGGAAGGTGTGAAGTGCAGGCTCTGTGGCTGGGATGCAGGCCGGAGGCGGGGCCAGGGG